AATCTGATCTGAATCCGTAATTCAGATTGAATCCAGGAGTGATCCATGCCAATCCAACGGTTTGTCACATATATTTGTCACAATATAAGTGATAAATTCGAATTTATCATGTGACAAATTTGAATTTATCACTTATATTGTAGCACAAGGCATGATACATTCGCATTTATCACGTGACAAATTCGAATTTATCACATAGAGTGATTATATATAAAGACATGACCTAAAATTAGTCCCAATCCCACTTAATCCAGGCCCAATCTGACATTTCAGGGGCCAAACCTAATCCGACAGTTTGGATCCGCACAAATCCAAATCTGATCCGTGCTGACTTTTTCGAATACTAAGCAATACTTATTATTTTCGTTTGTAATTTTCATGCTGCTATCGCAACCACAAATTTCAGCAATTGGCAGTGAATTTCCAACAGCCGAAAGTTCTAAGGAAGCTGCTCAACAAGGCGCTAAGGCTGCAGGCTTTGCTTTTAGCGTATCTTCATCAAAATTGTCACGTAGTGAAAAAGGCATCATGCTCCTTTTATTACTATGCAATGCATAATGGAGGCAATATAGAAATAATCATAAAATTACTGAAGAATCTCGAAAAAAAGTTAAATCTACAAAACATCAAGGCTGCCTGGTTAAATTGTATACCATTTTAGATGAAAAAGCTGGAGTTTGGATAGTATGTACTTCTGAAACTAACCATAGTCATGATCTTCTTCCACTATCACAAGTTCACTGCTTTCATCAACACTGTCTTCTTAACATAGAACAAAAAGAGCTAGTTTATAAAATAATTAAAAGTGGTGCATCTGTTCGGTCGGTTGCTAATGCGATATATTGGAAACATGGTATTGTATACACAAAAGATATTGTTAATGAACATAACAGAATTAAAAATGCTCTAAATGAAGGTTCAAATTGGGATACCACTATGCATCTTCTACAAATATTGGAAGAGTGCCATTATGTAGTTCGTCATGTATTATCAAAAGATGGCTGTATGAAAAATTTATTCTTTATCTATATTGAAGCTGCACATCATGTTGCTGTATGTCCAGAAGTGCTTATAGTAGATGCGATATACAAAACAAATTTATATAAGCTTTCTCTTATTAATGCCATTAGTGTTAGTAATATTAGTAATGCAAAATCTCTTAATACCTATCAAATCGCAATGGCGTGGGTAAAAAATGAGCAGGAAACACTTATGAATAGTTTTTATATACTTTAAAAGAAAAATATATAATACCTTCTTTTGCTCTCCGAAAGTATTTGTTTCAGATAAGTGTCAAGTCCTTCAAAAAGCGGCAAATATATGTGACAAACCGTTGGATTGGCATGGATCACTCCTGGATTCAATCTGAATTACGGATTCAGATCAGATT